ACCCACTTATGCATCGTTGGGTGCCGGGTGGGTGTGGCCCATTGGCTGGGCGTGGCTGTGGTGGTAACGGCAGACTGGGTGGGACTAAAAAATTCAATCAATCAATTCCAACTTTGCAAGATCTTTTTTTTTCCCCGCGAGAAATTGAAATTGACTGATTGATTGAACCTTTTTTTTTTTGCACATGGCGGTGGAGGCCTAAAGCGAAAAGGTTTTATAAAATCCAGCTGAAGGCCTAGGACTGGGGCGATGGCGCGCGTGCCCACAGAGAGGGTTCTGAGGGCCATCTCTGGCACCCGTGCCATAGGCTCGCCACCACTGCCCTACACCATTCTGACCAAATGGCTGTCCAGTCTTTTCATAAAAGCCTTCTCTGATTGAGCACCCACAGCTTCTGTTAGCAAATTGTTCCACAGGTTGATTGTCCTCACTGTTAGGAAGTTTCTCCTTAATTCCAGGTGGATTCTTTCCTGGCTTAGTTTCCATCCATTGTTTCTTGACTTACCCTTTGGTGCTTTGGAAAATAGATTGAGCCCCTCTTCTTTGTGGCAGCCCCTCAAATACTGGAATACTGCTATCGTGCCCCCCCCCTCTTTTCTCTAGACTAGCCATACCCAATTCCTGCAACCGTTCTTTGTATGTTTTAGTCTCCAGGCCTTTAATCATCTTAGTTGCTCTTCTTTGCACTTTTTCCAAAGTCTCAACATCTTTTTGGTAACGTGGTGACCTGGATGCTGTCCCACATGTGGTCTTCCTAAGGTGTCCATTCATCCATCCATCCTCTATCATCTATCATCTACGTGACTGAGTAGATCTGGCTTTCTAACTCAGTCCTTGGGTGTGGAGGAGAAAGGGCACTCAGATGGCAATTGGCTTGCTTGTGAAGGGGTTGTTTTTTCTACCAAGCCACCCCTGGTTTTCCATGTTACCCAAATTAAGAGTCCCCTTTGAGCCTTCTAAGGTTTCCTGCTTGGGAGAATTTCAGCATACTTTCCCCTGGTCAGTCCCTCCCTCCGGAGGCAGCCAAGAGATGAGCGAGTATGGGCTACTTCCTCTGACAGAACCCATGCTTTGATCTCCATGAGTGCATTGGAGTGGGGGGGGGGGTTAGAGAGAACAGAGGAGATTGGTTGTTCTTCCACAATTACACACATGCCTAGAGAGCTATTAGATACTGTGATGAGCAACCCTTGTGGAGCCTGGCGGTAACGAGAGACCTGATGCAAAATCGATCCTGCCCCATAATGATCCTTCTCGGTGCCGACGGGCAAAGCTTTGTTTAACAAATCAATTAGGGAGAGCTTCCCAGTTAGGGGGCCCTCCTGGCTGCCCCAGAAGAAAACCCGCGAGCCCAGCCCACGGAGAACGCACTAAAACTGGCTGCGGATGTACCTTTTGTGAGCAGTGTGCTAAGCCCCCAAGTAGCCTGGTGGTGTATCTAGGCCAGGGGTAGGCAACCTTGCCCCTTTTATGACTCGTGGACTTCAACTCCCAGAATTCCTGAGCCAGCATCCCACTTGATAAAAAGCGTCCACGAAAGAGACCTAAAACAAGATGGATCAATGACATCAGCCAGTATTGTGGGCCCAGTTGGCAAAAGAAAGGTCAAGACTGTATTGGTTGGAAACATGTGGGAGAAGGAGAAGAAAGAGGAGGAGGAGGAGCCATGGGGAGGCAGGGCTGGGGCAACAGCATGCGTGCCCACAGAGAGGGCTCTGAGTGCCGCTTCTGGCACTCGTGCCATAGGTTCGCCACCACTGCCCTACAACTACTTTCCCTGGAGACAGCCGCCAAAGCCCATTCCCATCTACCGGAGCATCAAACTGTAATAATAATTTATAACAGTGCTGATGATGGCCATGGGGGAGAGTCAAACTTGCCAGGATACCTGAAACCACATGATTAAAGCCCCACCGCTTTTTGCACATGGTGCCCCAGCATCTACAGGTAGTCCTTGATTTACGGCCACAATGGAGCCCAAAATTTATGTTGCTAAGTGAGATATTTGTTTTTGCCCCATTTTACCGTCTTCCTAAGCGAATCACTGAGGTTGAGACGTTAGTAACCTGGTCGTTAAGTGAAGCCGGTTTCCCCACTGAGTTTGCTTGTAAGAAGTTAGCAAAAGTTGATCACGTGACCTTGGGAACAGGGCAACCGTCATAAGTAGGAACCAGTTGCCAAGCATTTGAATTTTGATCACATGATCATGGGGCTGCTACAAAGGTGGTGAGTGTGAAAAATGGCCATAAGACACTTTTTTCAGCTGCGTTGTAATTTTGAACGGTCACTAAATGAACTGTTGTAAGCTGAGGACTACCCGTATTTGAAAGGAAGTGAAGCTTTAATCACATTTTTTAATAAATGCAAATATATGTATATATAAAAAATCAATTATGCCAGAGTTTCTGCAGCCCTGATCCCTGCCTAGCTTTCTTTTGTCCTTGTTCCCTCCTCTCTAGATTTATCTCTCCTACACCACTCTTTAAAGTAGGAATGCAGTTAAAAGAATGTGATGAAAAGTATAAATATAAACAAGGATAACAATGTTTGCTAGGAATTCTGGAAAATGTCATTTCAAAAAGCAGGAGAGAGAACATCACTTCAGAAAAAAAATTGATTTTATACACCCTTTTGAAGAGTTGCTACAGGACAGCATCAGAGGCAAGTTGACAAATAGCTCTGGTTTTAATTTTCCCTTTTATGTTTTTTTTTTTTTTATCCCTGCATGGGGGAAGGAATGTCAATTAAGAATAAGCATGAAACAGTTTAGAGTTTAAAAAAAAAAAAAAAAGATGGGAAAGGACAGATAACCTCTTTAAAACCAAGAGGATTTTTCTTACATATTTCAAATGCATATAAAGCTAATTTTGTCCTAATTTCTGGCCTCTAACTGCCATTAGGCTAATTAGCACAAAACTACTTGGGATATCTTTTTTATAAAACATGCACACACACACACACACACACACACACACATACACACACACTCCCAGAGAGAGAGAGAGAGAGAGAGAGAGAGAGAGAGAGAGAGAGAGAGAGAGAGAGAGAGAGAGAGAGAGAGAATTTGCCCATAAAAACTTGTTGAAAGAATCCACAACTGTTGTGCGACATGGAAACGCCCTTGACCACAGCCCAGATCTGAAAATATGTGCAAAATATTTCACATGTGGAATCTGTGGGCACAACATGCTGAGAAGGTTGACCCAGCCTTCCATTCTTCTGAGGTCAGTAAAATGAAGATCCATTTCTGGTGGAGTTCTTCACTATTCAGTCAGAACTGAAGAGGCTTCTGGGATGAGAAGCAAAATGTCTTCAAGGAAAAACAAAGTCCAGTTGCCTCTTGAAAAGGCACCTTTGGGATAGCTTACTTCTTATTTTTCCTTATTATAAAAATAATCCATCATTATTAGAAAGCAAAAAAATCACACATAAACCAAGATATTCCACACAATTTGGAATAATACATAGTCTTTAATAATAATACAGTCTTTAAGAGAGCAAGTTCATGTACCCAGTTTTAATATTTTGATCCCAAAAGATGCTAGTAAAGGAAGAAATGTTTTAATAATTAGTTGACTGAAGTATTTAAAATACCAAATGCGAATAACGCAATGCTTAGTTAAAAGATTCTTCAAGGCTCTTTGTTGCTGGGCTAAATTTTCTGTTTCTACATTTTAAAATACATTTCTACATACTGTTTCTACATTTTTAAATGCCATTGATCCAAATAAAGATGGACTTTAATGTCCAGTATTTGGCTATAATAAACCTGGCCCTTAACAACAAAGCTTAAATTAGTTCCTTTTGTTTGCACTGTTGTTTTATGTCCTTGGCAAAATAGACAATAACATCAAACCAGCAGCAATTATTAAAGATGGTTGTGTAATCTTTCCAGTTTCTTCAAAAACTTTCAGAAAATGCATATTGTAATCAAAATTAGGGAAACTGCCTGTCCTATCAGAGATGGTAGCATTCTGATGGCAAGTTAAAATGGGAGGGACCCTGCCTGGGTAGTCTCAATTAGCGTCAATTAATCCATTTGATGAGATTTCTCAACAGACAAGAAATGCAAGCTTTAAAATTCCACATTGCTTTTAAAAAAAACTAGAACAACACCAGAAGCCTTTGAAAGTTTGCACCAGAAATCCTGCTTAAATGTGAAGGATTTATTTGGCGCTCCCAGTTCCAGAGGTACACTTAGTTTTCCTAAAAAGCCCAATGCTTCTGCAGTTATCATGTTCTGAGAAACCAATGGAACTTGTTTATTTGAAGGAATCTGTATGACTTTTGTTGTTGTTGTTAGTTGCGAAGTCGTGTCCGACCCATCGCGATCCCATGGACAATGTTCCTCCAGGCCTTCCTGTCCTCTACCATCATCTGGAGTCCATTGAAGCTGACGCCTCCTGCTTCAGTGACTCCATCCAGCCACCTCATTCTCTGTCGTCCCCTTCTTCTCTTGCCCTCCGTCTTTCCCAGCATTAGGTCCTTCTCTAGTGAGTCCTTCCTTCTCATTAGGTGACCAAAGTATTTGAGTTTCAACTTCAGGATCTGGCCTTCTAAAGAGCAGTCAGGGTTGATCTCTTCTAAGACTGACCGGTTTGATCGCCTTGCAGTCCAGGGGACTCACAGGAGTCTTCTCCAGCACCATAGTTCAAAGGCCTCAATTCTTTGGCACTCAGCCTTTCTTATGGTCCAACTTTCACAGCCATACATTGCCACTGGGAAAACCATGGCCTTGATTATATGTACTTTTGTTGGCAGGGTGATGTCTCTGCTTTTTAGTATGCTGTCTAGATTTGCCATAGCTTTCCTCTCCAGGAGCAAGCGTCTTCTAATTTCTTGGCTGCAGTCCCCATCTGTGGTGACCTTGGGTCCAGAAAAATAAAATCTGTCACTACCTCCATTTCTTCCCCATCTATTTGCCAGGAATTGAGAGGGCTGGATGCCATGATCCTGGTTTTCTTAATGTTGAGTTTCAAGTATGACTTTTATTCCTACAGAAACCTGATGCCAAGGACCTTGGAAGGACAGATCACCATGGAGAAAACTCCAAGTTATTTTGTGACAAAGGAAGCCCCGCGGCGCATTTACAATATGTCCAGAGACATCAAGTTGATCGTGGTGGTTCGCAACCCTGTAACCCGGGCCATTTCAGACTACACCCAGACTCTTTCCAAGAACCCCACCATCCCCAGCTTCCAAAGCCTGGCCTTCAAGAATCTGAGCATGGGTCTTATTGATATCACGTGGAGCGCTGTGAGGATTGGACTTTACGTGAAGCATCTGGACCACTGGTTGCGTTATTTCCCTCTATCCCGATTTCTCTTCGTCAGCGGAGAGAGGTTGGTGAGTGACCCAGCTGGGGAAATGGGCCGTGTCCAAGACTTTCTGGGTCTCAAGCGAGTGGTGACGGACAAGCACTTCTACTTCAATGAAACCAAGGGTTTCCCTTGCTTAAAGAAACCGGAAGGGAGCAGCAGGCCCCGATGTTTGGGGAAGTCCAAAGGACGGCCACACCCCAAAATTGACCAGCAGGTTGTCCAACGCCTGCAGGAATTCTACAGACCCTTCAACTTAAAGTTCTATCAGATGACCGGGCAGGACTTTGGGTGGGATTGAGAGATCTCTTGACACAAAGGAGAGAGGTGGAATGTCGTGGGAGCAAACGTGAGGCCTCCTCAAAAATCTCATGAAGTACACGCTTCTCCCCAAAGTCTGTTGGGCAAAGATGCGTCTGAAATGCAACATGCGAGGAACATTTTCTGACCCTTACTAATTTATATACTGTCCTTCCAATAATTGTTATACTTAACAGTGTAGAGAGGAAAGTCTTGAAGCCTCCCCAGCTGACATCAGCAAAAGGAGAGCAAACGAGGAAAACATAGATCGATTGAAATATTCTGCTAAATAAATCTGGCCAAAATGGATAAGGTTTCTGAATTAGTGTTGAGCGAGAGAGAATAAGTAAAAGAGGGCTTGCCTGGGTGTGAGGTGTCATCACACCCAGTGTCTTCAGTCAGTTTCCCTCTTGCATATACTATTGATTGTACAGGTAGTCCTTGACTTACGACCACAATTAAGGCCAAAATTTATGTTGCTAAGTGAGGCATTTAACCGAATTTGCCCCGTTTTACGACCTTTCTTGCGACAGTTGTTAAGTGAATCACTGCAGTTGCTAAATTAGTAACACTCTTGTTAAATGAATGTGGCATCCCCCTGGGGGATGCTGCAATGGTTGTCAGTGTGAAAAACGGTCATAAGCCCTTTTATTTCTGTGCCGTTGTAACTTCAAACGGTCACTAAATGAACTGTTGAAAGTTGAGGACTACCTGTATTTCACATGAACGATGTAAAAAAAAAAAAATCGGGCTGCAGTTCCACCCCAAATCAAATTACTGGCATTTACGGTGGGGTGGTCACAGGGCAACATGGATGTAGAATTTATTGAAATGAGTCCACGTGCTTGAAGTCCACCTGCATTTGGGGAAACTTTTATTCTGCAGACAATTTTGTGAGAACTTCTTGGGGGGGTCCCCAAATTTCCTGGTGTATCAAGGACCAAGATTAGTTAGTGTGTTAATGCAGAACATTTCCATTGAATGACACACATTGCATACCCAGCCTATGTCTGCGTGCAGCGTGAGAAAGCACAACTACACATTCAGAATCTGCACACTGGTGGGAAAAGATGCTGCTACTTTCCCAAGGTCTAGGTTGCATATAAAGAATTAATGGACTCCAGATAGCTAAAGTAACCACTGGTCGAAGGAAAACCCAGAGTGTATTTTGTACAAAACAAAAAACAAAAAACAGGCTGACGATATAGTATTTCATTGGCGCATTCAGCTCCTGAGCGTTTCAGCTTTTTTAACATTTAAAATTCAAATTTCCAGCCGTTTATGACCGAGAAGATATGCTTAAATGCACAACTGTTACTTGCATGCTATCTGAAAATCGAGTCATTTTCTTCCTGAGATTTTGGGGAAGATATACTACAGGTCTGTGGAGATTTTCAGTTATCCAGGTTGTGGTTGTCTCCAAGATGCTTTTGCAAAAGGCATTTTGGACTGGACTTTTGAGACAGCTATTACCTGGATGACTGAGAATCTCCACAGACATTGAAATGTTTTGCTCTTCTTCCTCAAGGAAGAAACAGTACAGTTGCCTTTTGAAAAAGCACCTTTGAGATATACGACGGGGTCTTTCAAAAAACCTTATCCATCACTGCTGACAGAACCAGCATGAATGACACAAAATAAGAGAATTTGTGCAGGCACAGAATTTTTCATTTCTTCTTAGAACACACGTGATCTGAAACACATTAAACTGCTTTGCTCATGTCAGTGGGCATTCCCCACTTGGATGATGTATGTCTTGCAATCAACATAAGCTGAAGAGCTGTGCTTGGATGGTGTGCCATTTGTGCATGGGACCATCCAGGCCTTCCCACTCACGGTGTGTGACCGTTGGGCACAAAGGACCAAGCATGAATGGGTCCATCGGACTCAGTAAACTGCAGCCAACGGAACAAACATTCTGGAGAAGAGGCAGAGAGTCTATTGTCATTTTTAGGATAGATCTGGTAAAGGCTAACCCAAAAGTTTGGTGGAACTTCAACAAGGGTTCCTGTAGGACAGGGGTAGGCAACCTTGGCTCTTTTATAACTCGTGGATTTCAACGTTGAAGTCCACGAGTCATAAAAGAGCCAAGGTTGCCTACCCCTACTGTGGAACTCTTAGCAGTAGCTAATAAAAAGAAAATAACAGAAGCCCGTCTGTTCCACTCTCCAAATGTTTATGACCGGTTTTGCTGGTTCACATTTTCACATGGGTGTGCCGTATGGATTTGCAAAGCAAATGAGCCCTTCTAGAAAAGACAGTAGCTGTGCTCTTTTATACAGGCTGATCACACAGATGAGCAGGATTTTTAAAAAAGATAAGATAACCTTTATTGTCATTTTTTTTTACTATGGGAACAACGGCACACATCAAAAATGAAATTTAGTTGCCTGCTCTCAGAGTGAAACACATACATGACGCACACCTAAACATACTATGAACAACATATGTATAGACCCACATCCCTACATATACGTAGCAAATGTTAAATACTGTCCATCTTGAATATATAACGGAAGGAGGAAGCTTGAGAGTTTGCAAGGTTAATGCTGTATGGAATGAAACTCTGGCTGAATCTGGATGTTCTGCTTCGGGTACTACGAAGCCCCCTCCTCCCAGAAGCGAACAAGGAAAACAGGTCATGAAGAGGATGTGTGGTGTCCCAGATGATCTTACGAACCCTGCTCAAGCAACGCTTCTGTGCTATGTCCTGGATGGGAGGGAGGGAACTGCCAATGATCTTTTAGGCCAGTGGTTCTCAACCTGTGGGTCGGGACCCCATTTGGGGTCGAACGACCATTTCACGGGGGTCACCAAAGAACGCAGTCCGCCATTTTGTTTCCCCTTTTCCTTAGCTGTGCTACTCCCTTTTATTCTATTGCAGTGGTTCTCAACCTGTGGGTCGGGACCCCATTTGGGGTCAAACAACCATTTCACGGGGGTCGCCAAACCATGCTGTCCGCCATTTTTTTCCCTTTTCCCTAGCTGTCCTACTCCCTCTTATTGGTGGCCACACCCACTTGGGGGTCACCACAACATGGGGAACTGTATTATGGGGTCACGGCATTAGAAAGGTTGAGAACCACTGTTCTATTGGCTTTTGAAAGCCAATAGAATAGACTCTCTTGAATAGAGTCTAATTCTATTGGCTTTCAAAAGCCCATAGGAATTGTCCAGGCTGTCTCTGCCCTGCTGAGCCTGCCAAAAGTCCCATTCTGCAAACGGTGCTGCACCAGTTGAGTAGTCCTTGACTTACGACCGGTTGAGTAGTCCTCAACTTACGACCGGTTGGGGGTCGCGGCATTAAAAAGGTTGAGAACCACTGTTTTAGGCCATTCTCATCACTCTCTGCACCGCCTTCCTGTGTGAAGCAGGGATGCTTCCAAACCAGACTGTGATGTGTATGATGCTAACCTGCTTGTAGTCTTGCAAGTGTTGCAGAAAACAATCACTTTCAGGCACACACAAAAAACATTGTCTTTGATTTTTAAGCTAAGCAGTAGAAGACGTATTTGCCAGCTACTGGCAAAAGGAAGGACTGTAGTATACAGGTAGTCCTCGACGTAACAATCACAATTGAGGCCAATTTTTTTCTTGCTAAGTGAAACATATGTTAAGTGAATTATACCCCATTTTACGACCTGTCTTGTCCCAGTTGTTAAGTGAATCACTGCAAGTTTGTTAAGTTAGTAACCTGGTGATTAAGTGAATCTGGCTTCCCCATTGACTTTGCTTATAAGAAGGTCACAAAAGGGGATCCCACGACCCCGGGGCACTGCAATTGTCATAAATAGGAGTCAGTTGCCAAGCATCCGAATGTAAATCACGTGACCGTGGGGATACTGTAACGGTCGTAAGTGTGAAAAAGGGTCATAAGTCACATTTTTCAGTGCCGTTGTAACTTCGGACTGTCACTAAACAAACTATTGTACGTCAAGGACTTCCTGTACTTGCACTGACCATGCATCCCACCATATTGGCCTTACTTTTACACCCATGATCTTAAACTCTGCTGGGAACTCAAATTGCAGTCTGAGCATCTCTTTTAGCATGAAATCAACTGAACCTTGTAACTTTGTTGTTTAGTGCTCGCTCTCTCTCTCTCTCTCTCTCACACACACACACACACACACACACACACAGAGTTGCCATTGTGCTAGTGGAAGTCACATCCCAGATGGCCCCTGGGGACTTGGATATCAGACGTCCATGGGGAGTGAGGAACCTCCATCGTCCCTTTTGCTGGCAGCCTCCCATGATAGACTCTCCTCGGCTTGTTTAGGCTTTGTTTCCACCCTGACATTGGACCAAATTATTCTCCACCAAGGTCTTTAAAGGTTCCTAAGAGCCGGTGAATGCCGTGGGGGTGGGGTGGGGAGGGGGGAAGCTGCGATAGTGATCCTGTTTTTCATCTGAATGCCTGCATTGAGGCCAAGGGCCATTGAGATGCAAAGAGCCCCACGGAAAGCTAGTTTCTGTCTCTGCCTTATGAAAAAAAAAAGGGGCGAGGGTCACTGCCTTTCCCTCCCCACTTTGACAAAGGCAGGACCTGCCACTCCAAAGCCACACAATCTGGGACCGAGAGAGGCGCTTTCAGAGGCTCTGACATGACCCCGGAGGTCTGGAAGGGAGCTGGCAGGCTCAAGGAGGGCATTCTGTGGCAAAAACTGGGAACGTGGGGGGAGGAAGGAACAAGCTGACTGCCCAGATTAAGACTTTTCAAGTTCTACATGAACCCCCTGTTTAAGCTAATTGCTGCCCCACAGCTCAAGGGGTCAAGCATTTGCATTCAGGGCATTGAGTGGCTGCCACTTGAGGGGTTGACCAGGTGAAGCTTCTACTTCATTCCATGAAGGCAATAAAAACAACCTTTTGTATGGGGAGAAGACGGCCGAAAGAGGAGAAAGGAAACAGATTGGCTCCTTCCAGAACAAAAACTTCTGCATTCGAATAAAGTTTTGGGGTGCCGCTGAGGGTTTTAAGGAAGAAGCCATTTTACAAAGGCCAGAAAGGGTCAGCTTTTCGTCAAGTTCTGGGCAACCTGGGGTGCCATTTGCCTGCTAGACCCCTTTCAGAGGGAATAAGTTATAATGGGATGGCGCCTTAGACCCTGTTCTCATCCCTGTTTCCCCAAAACCTGGCAGTAGGATCGCATGCAGACCGCAGGGATAAAGCACAGCACAGGTAGTCCATTTTAGTGACCATTCAACGTTACAACAGCACTGGGAAAAAAAGTGATTTAACGACCATTTTTCACACAACCATCGCAGCAATCCCAATGGTTCACGTGATCAAAATGGGGCAAATAT